ACCAAGTTAAGTCGAAAAATGTTAACCATTTTGACACCTGTCAAAACCCTACCAAACGGCAGCACTCATCTTTTCCAGTTTTCAATATTTTATGTCATTTGACATTTTTAGCTTGTAAGTAAATTCTGAATTCAAAAATTGAAAAAAAAAATGACAGAACTGTCAAAACCTGTCATTTGTTTTAGTAGAAGAAAATACTCTAATCTGGTTCTTTCTCGTTTTAAGGTAGTTTGTGGGCATAAAACATTGAACAAAGTTCATGCACGTCACATTTTGACAGCTGTCAGAATCTGTCAATAGCTTTAATTCAAAAAATAATCAAATCTAGTTCTTTTTCAATTTAAGTTAGGCTTATTTATGATAACGCATGAAAAAACATTATACGCAGGTTTCAGATTTTGACAGAGATGTCAATTTTCATTTTAAAGTATGTAAAACTACATATAAAGGATTTTATTTCATTAGTCATGATAGGACAATCATTATAGTACTTAGTACTATAATGAAATCATTAAAGTACTCAAACATTTTGACACAAATGAAATCCACAATGATGTTATTTTTTTCAAAATTTAAATTCAGAATTTACATATAAGTTGAAAATGTCAAATGACATCATAAAATATTGAAAACTGAAACAGATGAGTGCTGCCGTTTGGCAGGGTTTTGACAGGTGTCAAAATGGTTCACATTTTTCGCCTTAACTTGGTCGACTTAGTAGAAATAGATTTTTTGTTCATCAAAATCTGCCATAGTTACTCTTCTTTTGGATATAAGATTCCAATATTTGGCAGCTAATCACGCCTCACCTGTCATATATACAGGATTGTGCCCATGGTAAAAAATGTTGCTTACAGCATCCCCAATAACATATTTAAATTTCATCCAAATATCACGGGTAACCAATTTCCATTTAAATATTGCGGGGTCCTTTATGGGGGGTTTTATTTGAAATGTGCAATTCAAATACGTCTGATTAAGTCGCAATTTTTGCCGGTACTTCAATGCTTAAAAATGCGACTTAGTCCGACGAATTTGAATTGCACATTTCAAATAAACCCCCGCTGGCATACTATTTAAAATTGCCGCTAACTCCGACCACATGGATTTACACCAAGCCCTTGTGAATGTAGGGGTGAATTTTCTGTAATACATATGTTCTTGTGAATGTAAAGTCCAGCATTTCTTTCCGGTGTTTGCTAATTTTCTTTTGCTTATTTCATATCAAAAATTAAAATTTAATGGAGATAAAAATAAAATGAAAAAACGCAACATAAAGTACAATCACATGGAAAAATTGAATTAATTGAAAGCAGAGATATTGAAAGTTTGGAAGACGAAAGACGTTGACGGTTTTTGATATAGGTATACCTACCTATTATGTCTGTCAGAAATTTTCAAGCTGTGATTGGACAGAATTGGGACTCGACACTTGGCAAATATGGACATATTTTCACTCCCTCCCAGGTACTCCCTCCTCTCAAGAATATGTATTTTTAAAACCGAGAGAATAATGTGGGAGTAGAAAAATATGGGAGCTGTTCGAGGAGCAATTTTTCTATTGGTTTCAAGAATAAGAGCACAGGTGGCAATATTGTACACTTTTTTTTAAGTGCGTTCTGGAATATTAGGACGTTTCCATACATAACGACAACCCTGTATACTGAAGTCTCACTTTTTCTACGTGTACTTACAATTTTTCCTTAATTCACTAAATTATTCTAACAAAATAAATCTTTTGTATGTTAGCAGAGCACGCACATTTTAACCGTTTAACCGTTATAAATTTTCTTTCTTTCACGACTTCTTCACTTTTTCACAGACAAGATTCGATTGTTCAGCACGAATTTAATTTGATGTTCGAGGCTCTGAAAAACAAAAAAGCTCTTCATAAATTTTATCTGATGACCGTTCATTCTAGACTATTTCGGACTGATCTGAACTGATGACTCCCGTTGTTCTCTATACATGATTGTTTAAATAGTTTTCTAAAAAGCCATTAATACAACGTTTTAAACTCTCCAGAAATGTGTTAGTTTCCTATTTCAGATTTTTAGTTGGGCATGGAAAGTTTAATAAACATATGTATAAGTATAAGTTATGCCAGAACACGCGATGCTTTTGTGATAACCAATGTGAAGAAGACTTGAAACATAGATTATTTAGTTCTAGACACAATGAATTGGCAACTTCGTTCTTAAAAAGAGAATTGGAAAAACTCCATCTAATACCGATGAACCACAAGAGTTTAATTGAGCTTATTTTATCAGATGATAGGATATATTTATTATTTATCTAAAATTATGTAAAGTCCTTATTTGAAAGATAGTAAGTTAGTATCGTTTCCTATGTTTTTTTTTTCCTTATATGTTACATACTTTCTAACCGGGTCCAAAATGTTCTACATAGACCCCAAGACGAGAAGTAGTTCTTCCCAACAAACACAATTACATTCCAAAGACGTACATAAGGTGTAACGTTATGACATACTGTACGTTCGTAAGACGTCGATTTTAGAGCCAAGTACGTCTTGAAGACGTAATGGGCAAGTCGTATGTCAACTCCATAATACGTCTTGAAGACGTACAGCTTAGAGCCATAAATAACGTCCATAATACTTCTTGAAGACCTAATTAAGTACATATTGCAAACCAAATAAAAGAGGATTTTTTTTCTCAAATCGTTTATTATTTATTCGCTATTAGCTTACTAAACCTAGAATAACAACAAAAGAAAAACAATAATTCAAAAGTATTGCAACTATACCTACATAAATAAAGCATAACCTAAAAGAACTGCAACAACATTCTGTTAAGGATTGATTGGGTTGGGACTCTCGTAAACTAATTAGCACAACACTGTTTCACTGAACTGACTGAACTTAATTTATTATTAAAATTGGGAATATTCTGTCTATAACAACCTTAGAGCAGGTCTACAGTAGAACTAATTATTAACCTCCTGTTCTGGAAACATCCATCAACATCACAATAACACATAAACTTTTTTGCTTATCTCACTTCTGAATTTGTAGGGATGGGTCTAATTAACTAAATTGTTGCTGTATTTTCTTTATTAAATAATTTTCACATAACTTTTGCACAAAATTTCTAACAGGCTTCTAACCTAACGTGTCGTTCGCCACCTCACATAAGACATAAAGACATAACGACATAACCTCAATCTCGGAACAAGGATATAACACCTCTCTTTCACTAACTACCCTAACATCTACGTCATCATTTATCAAATTTCAAAATGACCATAAATGAGAGCGAAATTCAAAGAAAGTCTGTTTTTTTTTTTAATATAATTCCCCAAATCAAAAATTTAGTAACTATGTTGGCAACACAAGCCTTTTCTACATAAAAAAATTGAAAGCATTGACAATTTCACATTGTATTGCCAACATAATGTCATTTTGACTTTTATCTTAAAAAAAAAACAGAATTTATTAAAATTTAAATTCCTACATATCTGTTTGTATTTTACACTTTAAACATAAAACCAAAATGGTGGACGTAACTGTACGTAATATGGATGTTTAATATGTACCTACATAAAAGGTACAAAAGTGTACGTCTTATATACGTTCTGAATAGGTCATATGACGTACGGGCGTAAATTTGACATAAAATGGACGTTTTAAGTATGTAGTGTGTTTGCTGGGTTGGTCCCACCATGAACACGCGTTATTTCGATAGATACATTTACCTAAAATCCTCCTCCGTTATTTCTAAAAAAATATAATTATTTATTCATTCATTCCGCAGGTGGTCCTGTATACCTAGATGGAACTAAAACAATTAAAATAATATGCTTTGTTATTAAAGCATCAAAGATATGCTTCCTATATTTCACTTACTGTTATGCATAATTATTATTCTCTGCATTAAATAATTAACGGGTGTAGGGTAATTTTGCCACTTCACCTTCTATTATGTTTTGCATAAAGACATTTCCATCCATAAAACATAGCAAGGAAAAATTACAAACCAAAAGGTTAACCTACAGAATAAATAAAAAATTTAACCGGTTTTTACATAATTTGAGAAGGTAACATATTCAATTACCGAACTTAATTTAGCTACATGGTTTGGGAAACTCAATTTAGATTTAATTTATGTAGGTTGCTGGAGAGTAAACCGTAATAAAAAGTCCATAAAGTATTTCTCATTCTCACAAAATTCCAGTACACATTCACATTTCTTTGTTTGGGCTCGAGCCGAAAATATTCGCATTTATAATATCATAAAGACTGGTCGGGAAAATAAGGCGAGTTTATAATTATTATCAAGTTCAATAATTTAAATTGTTCAGCGTGTTGATCTCCTTGAGGAAATTGACCAATAATTGGGGCTTCAGCCTTACTAGTACATGGAATTATTGTCAGAATATGTGTTAGATAATACATTATCATGAAAAGATTTTTAAAAAGGACCACTTTAGAATCTACTTGTTCCGATTTTAATTATTTTGGCAACTATTATTTGCAAGATTACCTACTTTGTATTTCGTACATGTGTTACTGCCGCCACCTGGTACTGAGGAGAACGACGATAATGAGGGCGGTACAGATCAAACTGGTTTCTACCCTTATAGTTGTTGGGTTGGTTGTCTACTGAATCGGGATGAGATCAATCATGGTGTGAAGTTCTTGTAGCTCCAGATCGGTAGTAGTGAATTCATGAAATTTAAATTCTTTGACTAGTTTTGGTATCTGGATTTCAAGTTGGTCTTCAGGGGGGTTAAACTTAGATGCTGTTAGCTCCGTCGGGAAGTGAAACTTCTCGAGAGTCGTATTAACGGCGGTCAGCTTTTCGTTATGTGGAAGTGGAGTTCTGCCCTCTTTTTGTGCATAACAGTTTCTTTCTTATGGTAGTAAACCACACCCTTGCAGATACTGGACAGTGCGGATTTCGTAGTTCTTGGAAGTACGGTTACCGGCTAAGCACTGGATTATAGTTTTTAATGGAAAACTGAGACTATAAGCCTATCGGTTATGTCCGTCGGCACGGTAGTTGCGGTTGGGAGTGTCGAAATTTTCTTTTAGCATAAGCTGGATACGGTTTGGTATCACCTCGGAATAATGCCATTTTACAGGATATACCTAAAGGGAAGATGTTGGATCGGTTTAAAGGGAATGCAGATTTTGAGGTTTTTTCCTCTACAGTTAGTAAGTTCGTGATCCTTCATTTCGTAGAACGACATAGCATCATTTGAAACAGCCTGGAGGGGAATGGAAGGTCTGATGGCGATCGTAGCATTAACTTTGGCGTTGTAATAAGGAAAAGTGTTTACTCGGTAAAGGGTGAATGTTCGACCTAGAGTGGTTAACGGGAATTCCACTAGGATTTGGATAGAGCCGCTGAAGAAAATAGCATAGGTGTAGGATTTAGTATAAAAGTTATGTATATCCATCATGCGGACTGCACGAAGAAAAGCGTAATTACTAGGAAGTTGGTCTTCGATAGTAGCTAGTGTTTCCTTTAGCTTGGCTGCGCTGATTATAGCGTTGCTTAGTCTACCTTGCGCTACTGTGTCCAGGGCAATCATTAACTGGTTCACATCATGCTCTATGGATGTAATGACAAAACCCAACCTCCAAACTTCAGGATTTATAGTGAAGCGGGCGTCTATTACCTTAAGCATATCTTGCTGTTTTTTTTTTCAAGTCATTTTGTAGTCTCTGGGCGACTTATTGTAACTCCTGGGTTACTAGGGTCACTTCTCTTAGCGTTTCTGTATTTCCTTAAGCATCAGGTAGGTCTTGTTCAACATAGAGGCTTGGGCCTTGAGTGAATGAATTACTTCTGTGTTTACGGCTTCCATTCCTTTGAACTGATTTTCTATTGTGGCTAAGTCATTTGCATCTGGGGTGCGATTTTCGAAACCATTCGAGTACATTTCGTATACGAAATTTGATATGATTTCGAATGCTCCCCATTTAATTAACATTGCTGTCAGACAAATTTCGTATACGAAATGTACTCGAATGGTTTCGAAAATCGCACCCCTGGTGTGCCAAACAGGAATTTCAGAGCGTTGCCCCCAATGTTTATTAGGCCTCTTTTTGATCTGTGAGCTGCGGTTGTGTCTCCAATACCTTTGATGATCTCGGACATATGATCAATGCGCTTAGTCATCAACTGTCTTTCTTCTTTGAGAAAGGTCATATGGTAGTTTGACATAGAAGTCGTGATGCTTCGGCTGACTAGATCTAAGAACGTAAGATCTAGGTAGTTATTAAGGTCGATACTAATGGCTGAAGTCCATTTTTCATCGGTCAGTGTGATCTGTGTCTCTTTAGTCAATAATACACCTTGTGATAATTCTTGATTGAAGTCGGGGTCGCATCGGGTCGTTGGTTGAGTGAAAACATAGAAAACTTCTAGTACGGTCAGAATGAATTTCGTATTCGCTTTTTCAGAACCCACGGGTGGTCGTCCACTGGGCCTCGGCTTCTGGTTTGAACTCGGGTATTGCCTTGGCTTGATTGTGAGGAGAACTCGTCCAGGGATTCAGCCTGTAATTCTGGTGTTTTTTCGGAGTTAGTTAGTGTTATGTTAGGGTCTGTCAAGTCAGTTAAGTTAGTCGTGTCATTTAGGTAAGAGGTTTCAATTTCATTCAACAAGGTACTTGAATTTCTACTAGTTATTTTTAAATTGGTGCTTTCTGAGGTTTTATTGGGTGAGCTTACAACTTCACGGGGGTCACGAGCAGTTTCGACTTGAATAGGATTTTCAAGTTGACGGGTTTGATCCCTAACTTGGCCGGAATTAGAAGTAGTCGGTGACTTTGAAACAACCGGGGATCTAGAAAGAATGGGTGAGTTTGAAATAACGGGTGGACCTTTAAATAACGGGTGAACTTGACATAACGGGTGAACTTGAAATAACGGGTGAACTTGAATGGTTTGGCGACGCTAGGGTTGCATTATGTTCAGGAGCTGGAGGATGCGACACTTCATCATCGGAGTCTTCACTCTTCCAATCGTCTTCCTCATTGGTCAGATTGTGTTGCGGTATTCCAGGATATTAGGTTCGTGTGAACTTAATTTTTTTTATCTATGTACTCCGTGATCAATTCTTCTAATTCCTGTTTATCCTGAGGGCTGACATTTCCTAAAGTTATTTTCTCGAGAATTTCTGAAATACTGACTGTTTCAGACTTGGTTTCGGTTTCGGATTCGAATTCGAAGTCGACTTCTTCTGGGCCGATATCAGCTCCCTTGATATCAATTTCTTGTCGGGCTAACGTGTCTAATCGCTTGAGTTTCTTGACTACACTTGTGACCATTCCAGTGATTCCCCGGCTCTAAGTGCCCTACGACAGTGGCCGTAAGTAAGGTCAATTCGACTTTTGAGACGTTGATTAAGCGGATCGGTATCCAATTTCTTGTGTTAACCAGACATCTGGCCACCATAATCCCATGGACGTGCACTTCCGCTGGGCTTACGATGCCGAGTTCGAAAGGTACAGGTTCCTTCGTCCTTCCTTCAATGATTATCTCACTTCTGGGAAGTAAGGTAACACGTTCGGTAATTTTGACTGGAATCGGAGTACCATCTGCGGTTTCGGATTTTGATGCATCAATAATAATGGATGTGATTCCAGATTTCGGGTTAGACGCATGTATCGGTTCGGTTACTGGAATCACCGGATTTCTATTAGTCCAGGCCTGTTCTAAAATTTGGGAACTCTGGGTTTTCCTGTCAGTTCTCGTAACTATTTTCGGCTTGGGGAGTATCTATATGTGTCAATTCTCTCAGGTAACTACTGGTTTCTTCTCATGGTATTTCAGTATCCTGAAGTTGTAGTATGCTGTGTTTATTCCGGAATTTTATACTAATGTTATGTTCTTGCAGGAAATCGGCGCCTAGTATACCATGATATTCTATCGGAAAATTCTCGGGTATAACTATAAATTCGGGCGTGATCTATTTATCTCCTAAGCTTATAGTAATAAAGGTGTAGCCTATAAATGGAATCGAATTTCCTTGCAGGTCTACCAAGTCTTGCGGGGGTCGGGGGTTGTTCGATAAGGGTGCCTGGAAGTTTCTTTTATGAGAGAGGCAGATGCTCCTGTGTCTATGAGTAAAAAGCACGTTTGGTTATATATACTGGCTGGTATGGTCGTTTCCTGGTCGTGAAATGGTTTTGTGAGGTTTATGACGACTTTTTGTAATTTTATTGGCGCCGGGGTTGAGGCACCGGCGTTTGTCCGTTTTTTGAACACTCTCGTTTGAAGTGTCCGGTTCCTTGGCATCCATAGCATCTAGCAGGTTCAGTACAGCTGATTCTCCAGTGTCCCATCTTACCACTGTTTAGGCAAGGGGAAGTAGGTTGTCCAACTTGGGTAGGCTTTTGTCCCAGTTGCCTTGGTTGTTGTCCCTGTTGTCTGGGGTATTGTCCTTGTTGTCTGGAAAATTGTCCTTGTTGTCGGGGATATTGTCCTTGTTGTCTGGGCTGGAACATCTGTGCCCGGATTTTGTTTCGCCAGGTTTTCATGTTGTTTTCCATTTCGATCGAAATTTTCACTGCGTCAGCGTAATCTTGCGTTGTGCGGAGAACGACCTTCTCTTTTATATACGGGAGCATATCATTAATCAATTGAATATGCAAATGTTTCTTTAGAATCTCTTGTCTCACTAGGTCGGCTTGCGGGTCATTCGAGGGTTCCATCGTACGTCGTCCTGCTCTTTCTATTCTAGCAGAATAGTCCTTAATGGATTCACCCGATCTTTGGTAGGTACTCTGGAATCGTTGCATAGCTTGAAATTCGGTTAGCTGACTAGAATATTGGGTGATTAAATGCTTTTTGAATGCAGCCCAAGTCCAGCTATTTACGGTTTTCACCAGGGCTCTTGCTTACCCTTTGAGTCTGAGTTTACAAATTCGCACTTTAGTGTCATCATCCCAGCCCTGCCCCCTGTTCGAAATGTCCACAGAATGTTTCGCCGGAAAACTCAATTTCGAACTGTGATTACCGTCTGGCGATTTTTCAGCGTTATTTTCACAACAAAACCTTCTATTCTCTCGATTGCCAGACAAAAAGTAAACGCGGAAGGTTCTTCTTTTTTCTCTTGGAAGTTGACACCCATCGCCACTTTTTCCAGCTATTGAAAAGCATCTGGTATATTTCACGGGTGAATTATTTATCAATGTCAATCTATTATTTAAGTCAGAAAATTTGAGATCTTTGAAAAAAAATCTTCATGTAAATCAATTTTTTTCTTCTGCAAATTTTCGAACGGGAGGCAGGCATTAAAATTACCCATATTCTCATCAGCTTAGTAGCCACATTCAGACCCTAAAATGCCAGACAAAAAAAATGACTGCATTAAACAGTCACCATCTCACAGTCTATAATTGAATGATTAGAATTTTAAAATAGCAGAATGTGATATCAAAAAAAAGATAATAATTTTTTCATTGGAATTATTTAATTGAATTTTTATGGTTGAAAAGGAAAGACATATTTTGTTTTTTCAAAAAAATTGTGGTGCCGAATATGTTCAATCAGAGGAACCAGTACGTCCCTTTGCTGGAAGAAAAGGTCCCACCGCTGCGACCATTTTTGTTACCACCGCCACCTGGTTGCAACAGTTTGGTAAGGAAGACTTTGTTTTAGCACTGGTGAAGGCCCTTTTTGTACTGCGGTAGCGTGCCACCAGTGACTCTGAAAATCTAGGTAACTTTGAACGGATACTTTCTAGTAATCTGATTAGATCGCCTCTTCCAGTGCGGGTTCTTGCTACCTGAGCTGTACGCAGTTAGTTGGAATGCTAGCTCGGGGTTTTCCAAAGGAAATAAAAAAATCAGGTTTTGTTACTAAACTCTAACAATGGTTTATTGAGCAAATGGTAAATCTTGGTACGGAAATGAAAGAAAAGCAAAAAATATACAGTAAGTTATTAACAAGTTATGCTGAAATGAAATGAAAGAAATTACATACAGAGCTTTGACATGATAGGGAGTGAAATTAATGAGCGTCCTGTATAGGGCGTTCCTTGATGGTACAAGTTACATGAGAAATTAAAGATTAAAAGATAAAGACTAGGTTATAATTTCTAGTGGGTACAAGTCACGGGCATCCTCGACAAGGGAATGACAAAACGGCCTTGTTATTCAGCGTAAGATACATGTTGGAAAAGAGATTTGAGTTGTGAAGCTAACCTAACGGTTTTGTTCTTTACACAGGGGAGAAAATAAATAATAGACAGAAAACAATAATAAGGATGAATAAATTAAACTACTTGAAATTGAAACATTACCCAAGGTCTCGGAAAGAGAGTCAGCAGAAAGACGTCAACACTAAACACCAGAACTTCGTTACAGAACTGAATGAATCTAGGAGGCTCACAGGCTTATTTATATTGGCAGCTTGATGACGCTTTTGGGATTCTTATTGGTCGCAAAACATGCGGTTGTTCATGGAACCAGGAGTCGAGAGCAGAGATATGGGAGAGTTGTTGGTTAGAATAGAATAATGCGCAACTGGCCGAATTTGAAGGACCGCCATTTTTATCACTTGTCAAATTATGTGTTGGAAAAATAGGTCATGAACAACTCATAACTCCAAAAATAAGCAGAATTAACAAAAAGAAATCTTTTAAAACACCGCTCGTTACATAACTGAATGAATCTAGGAGGCTTACAGGCTTATTTATATTGGCAGCTTGATGACGCTTGTAGGATTCTTTTCGGTCGAAAGACATGCGGTTTTTTCATGGAACCAGGAGTCGAGAGTCGTGTTTGAAGACACAGTAATCACACTCTTTCGAAAACTGACTGATAACCCTTGGCTCTTGACACGTTTTCGTCAGAAATTTAGCGACTTAATCTCGCAGGGTAAAAAACAATTTTAATTGTATTACGAAGCAAAAAAAAAAGGATTTTTAGGCCGTTTTGTTACACATGAGAAAGATTGCGCAAGTGCTAGTATTAACTTTCGATTCAAGAACTATGATCGGAAAATTTCTATAGGGAGCTATACGATGCAAGAAGAAACAACGAAAATAACAAACAAAAAACCGAAAGCGAAACATCCAAAATTCTAAATGGTGGGTCAGAAGAGAACCCTGATATAGAAGAAGAAGAGATTGCGAAACCGCTAAGCCAATTAAACAACAGAAAAACCCCAAGAATGGACGATATACTATACCAGAAACCAGAAATGCTGAAGGAGGCAGAATACCTTGTAAAAGAACTGAAAACACTTTCCAATAAATGTCTAACAGAAGGCAAAATACCACACAACTGGGATACTGCCATTGTTTTTTGGATATACAAAAAAGGAGATCCATCAAATTTTGAGAACTATAGACACATAAGTCTCCTATCTCAGGTATACAAATTGTTTATGAAAATAATCATCTACCGCCTAAAAAGGAAATTAGATTATTACCAACCTAAAGAACAAGCAAGCTATAGAAAGAGCTACAGCACTATAGAACATCTTCACACAATAAGAATACTAAATGAAAAGACGACCAAATATAACATTAATTCATCGATTTTAGAAAAGTCTTCGACATTGTTGAATTCTGGGCGATATAAGGAGCTATGAGAAATGCATGAATTGATCAGCGATAAATAAATATAATCAAAAGTATTCAAGAAGCAATAAAAATTAAATATAGAATGCATGAAGATACAAACGAAGTGAAGATCAAAAGAGGCGTATGGAAAATGCGCCACGTATTCCGGTTCAAGTTACCTTTGAAGCAGGAAACTAGACTCTGCAATAAATGTATTCTGCCAGTAGTTCACTATAGAAGCGAAACATGGACGCTCACAAAGAAAATTCTTAATAAGCTCCGAGTAAGACAGCAATCGAAAGGAGAATGATAGGTATTACAAGACCAACGAGTGGATTAGAAACACAAGAAAGGTCGAAGACATTACACATATAGGTAATATGCAGCGTCAAATGGAACTGAGCCGGCCACGTAGCGAGAAACACAAGCAACAACTGAAGCGGAAAAGAGGCTTACATCTAGATATATAGATAGAGAACGGCTAAAAAGAGCTGAAAAAGAAGAAGGCTCGTGAACGGTTGTCTACGCTGCTAAGAAATTAAGGCTTCTTCCAAAGGAAACAATTTTCTTGGATGACAGTTGGCCCACTGCTTGGGGTGTTGGCCCTCTCGAGGTACTTGAGCCTTTTCCAGAGTTGGACCAATCCAGATACGAATAGATGATGTGTCCGCTGAGCATTCTGACGACTTACCGGAAATCTGATCTAATTTCTGTTCATGTGTAGGAGCTGTTCTGCTATCTCTTTAGTCGTGGAGTTTATTTCCAGTATTTGCATGTTTTCCAGTTTGGAAACATTTTATTTTGAATTATTTTTCAGATCTCAATTTTCATTATCTTTCAAATATTAGTCACAAAATGTCAAAACTTTAAAGGCCTTTATCTCAAAAATGGTTGAGCTTGGACCCCATGTTGTATAAACTTTTTTTGTTCAAAATGTGCCATGTTTTCACGTGCTCAAATCTTTGCAGTCAAAACTGATATATTCAAATTAAAGAGTTTATGAAAAATTATCAGTACCCACCTGCAGAAGACGTTGCGTGTCGAAACATATCTCGTAATGGAATAAAATATTTTGTAGAAACTGAAGTTGGCTATTGAAAAATCAGGAAATTGTGTGCACAAAATCGAAAATGTTGACTTTATTTGAGGATAGCAGGAACAAAATGTGTCCATTCATCTACCAACTATAAATTTCCGAATCCTTTCTAAAAAATATAACTACGCAGTAAACTCACATAGAGTTGCTAAACGAAATCCTCAAGTAAAAAGGCTTTTCGTCCCAGTGTACCAGTGTCCCATGATGTGGTTTTTATTGAATTTACTTCCAATTTACTTCCAATGCAGCCTCAACTGTGTATCGACAGATCGTGGGATATTCGTTGAATAATTTCCGTTTGAAATTAAAATTAATCGATAAATATATTTCCATTTCATTCAATATGTTTCGATGCTTCTGAATTTTGCGGTATAAATAATTTTGAAGAGTAAATTCAAGTATATCTAAATCGTAACAAAGTGCCTGCTATTGTCTAGATTCAAATGCGCTTATTGTTTGAACAAAGGCACTTTGAAATTATCTTTGCGAATGGATAAATAAATTCCTCATAAAAGAGTTTGCTTATGTTTTGACATTTTTCTTTTGCGCAAACATGAAAAATGTTCATAAACAACAAGATTAAGAAGTATTTTGTGAAGTTTACAGGCAAGAAAAATTTTAGGGTGTACTTACCTACAAAAAATGTTACTTGTGAACAGAGCTGGGCAGTAGCTAGCTACCAAGTAGTTAAGCTACTAGCTTAGCTACTTTTTTGGTAGCTAATAGCTTATTCAAGCTACCTTGAAAAAAAAGTAGCTTGTAGCTGTAGCTTTTGGTAATGTGTTTCAAGTATTCATAAGCTACTGTGAAAAGTAGCTAGCTACTAAAACAAGCTACTTAAGCTACTTTTGGTAGATAGTTAATAGTTATTTAGGTATTAATGGCGGAAAGTGTCATTTACCGCTCGAGGGTGTGGTTAACGATACTCAACGCCCAAAATACTTATTACGTTTTATGCTCAGCGGACTCTTCTAGTTCAAAAATAAAATAACTATACCATATAATATTTAGATAAACTGACACATTTTACAGGTGAATATCTCGAAAACCAGAAAAGATAACGGGATGGGTCGGGATTTGTTTTGGAAGAATAAGGATTTTTCAAAGTTTTTTTTCATGGTATTGACGAATCC